TTGATGAAGCTACTAAGTTTAGGGTAATATGTTACAGTAGCAGTAAGTAGTTAATATGTTTTTATTCATCTAAACACAGGAAGCACATTTATGTCTTTGTGCTAAGGCTATGAATGATTCAACAAATATCCAACAGGAGACTTTTTTGACCCAAATTTCTCATGACCCGTCCTCTAATAATAATCTCTTCCTCTACAAACATAAAAAAGCCTATCACTGCAGTCTTTGTGCTGCACTGCTATGTATTTATAATATATGAATATTAGCAGTGATGTTGAAGGAAAAAACTAAAGACAAAATGGCAGAGAACAATAGGTGTGACAAGTGGACTGCTCTAATGGAGATGTTACGATATTACTTATAACTACCTTAAGAAAACAATTTTATAAGACTTACATTCACTCTGAAGGAAGAATATTTCATCATTGCCAACGAGACCTAGCTGATTCACAAACCTACCGAAGTGTGGAAGAGGAAGTTTTCCTTCCACTTGGGGTAATGCACAGAAACACAGCACACACGTACACGCACACTGAACTAGTCTAAAGTGCCCTGGTTCCTGCGAGGTTTGTGCACATTAATCCCTGCTGTGGTGGGAACCTGACCTGATTTGCACTGACGTGTAAGGCTCTGCCTAGAAAAATGCCTCCTGTAGAGAAGTACCTTCAGGTTGCCCTTGTTTGGGACAGAACATCATATTGCACACACACAGTTATGTCTTAGTTACCTGCAGACACATTTGCGTTATGTAGAAAACATTCTTGATTTCTATCATTACAACTTTTAACTCCAAAAACAATTTCTCCTCCCCACCAAACCCAGACACAGTAAAACAATAAGGACAGTCTCATATTTTTAAAAAGAAACAGAATAATGATGAATTGCAATAAAAGACTGAAACGCTCTTCTCATTAAATTCAGAGAGCCACCTCTGGGACTTGTCACCTGTGATATTTGATGACAATAGCCACAATTAATCTTGCATAAAATTTGCCTAATCCTGTAATGTAGAAACTTTGTTTTTTTTTATCAGCTAATAA